GCCTACCTGATCAATAACAATCAGGGAAATACCATAATAAGCGATTGCATCTCCCACCTGGCAGAATATCTACCATTAAAAAAACAAGGTAACAAAAGCCACTAAGGATGTGGAATAAAGGAAATTCTTATTCACTGTTGGTAGGAATGTTAGTATGCCCATCATGGAAGCAGTTTGGAGGCTCTTCAAAATGTTAAAAGTATGTGATCCAGTTATTCCACTACTGGTGTAATCCAAAAGGAATGGAATTAGTATGCTTCCAGTAGTGGGATAAAGAAAAGAGAGGGAGCAATCTGTACTCCCACATACACACAGCACCACTCACAATAGCCCAGACAAACAATCAACCTAAGTGTTCACCAAGAGATGAATGGATAATGAAGATATAATATGTATACAGAATGGAGTATTGTTTAGTCATTAAAAAAAGAAAAAAAAAATCCTATCATGTGACAGAAAGGGAGAATCTGGATATGTTAAGTAAAATGTACTATGTTAGGTCAAATAAGCTAGGCACAGAACAGAACTGTAAAATCTCACCCATATGTACAACCTAATAAAGATACTCTCATAGATGTAGAGGGTAGAATAGTGGGTACCAGAAGCTGGAGAGGGGAAGGGCAGTACCATGTTGATCAAAGCACACCTCATCACAGGTAGGTGGGAGGAATATTTCTAAGACAGGTTCAGTTGAAGTCAACATATCTAGAAAGTAGGTTGCTACTGGACAGCAGTAGGGATTAGGGAGCAAAGAGGTGAAGGGGAGGAAAGAGAGATGCAGTAACTACCAGTGGTTGTGAATTTTTTTTTAATGTGATGAATATGTTCTAAAATTGTGATGATGGTTGCACAGCCTCGTGCAGTGCTGAACTGTAAAATTGCAGGGGGTGAACTGTATGATATACAAAGTGTATCTCAATACAGCAGTTTAAAAGGAACAAGGAATAGCACAGCAGCACTGCACAATGGAAGGAGCCTGAAGCCCAACTTTGTTACCTCACATCCAGTTGAGACTCAGGCCTGGGCAGGAAATCAACAGTGTAAAGGGGGGCAGACAGCGCACTCAGGAAGACAGATGCAGGAAAAGCCCACAAAGGAGAGTCAGAAGCAGCCAGTTTTTCTGTTTTGCTTTACAAATAAAATGAGAAAGAAAGGAGCAGAGTTTGACAGGTTGTAGTCAAAGAAAACTGTCCACTGCATCGACAACATTGCAGAGGGCACGCTATCTAAATCTCTCAGGTCAGCTCCACTGCCCTATTTGTTTCTGCGTTTTTGCAATAACAAACTTTTTCATAGTACTTGCAATGGCATCATTTCTCCAAAGGGATTGGGCGTAGGGTTTATTGAACCTGACCACATCTAACTCTAAATTTTCTTGTGCTAGACTCCTTATATATATGCCTATCTTCAGGCCTCCTGACCCAGGGTACTTTGGGTTGTCACAGATCAACTTCTTGCTTCATGCAGAGATTGAAGAATCTAAGTGGACACTAACTTGGCTTCTATCTCAAATGATATTATCCCACTAGTATTTTTAAATTAAGGAACAATTTAAAATGTTATTATACATTTCACTTATGTTCATCATGTCATTATTTTAAAAACTGAGTCAACTGCATAGACTTTTCCCATCTTAGACAAACTTGAAAAGATTAGAGCCTACATTTATCAGACACTGGCTCATTCTTCTATTGAGCCAAGAATCCACTTTACAAAAATAAATCTAAATAATCTATATACCTGTAATTCCAGCACTCTGGAAAGCTGAGGCAGGTAGATCACAAATTTGAGCCCAGCCTTGGAAACTTAGCAAAATTGTCTCAAAATAACTAAGTCTCGGCGTGAAAGCTCTGGGTTCAATCTCCAATACCACAAATAAAATTTTTTAAAAAATCTTGATACCTGCCTACTTTATTCCTACATATCCTTAGTTGTGCAATGTGGAGTTCAGTACTATTATCTTCCAAAGGCCTAACCTGCAAATCCCATCCCAGTGGAGGTTACAATATAGGATGCTTCTGGAGGACACAAATATCAGCAAATGGTACTCTTGGAAGTCTGTGCATTTTACCTCGGGATACATGCTGGAGCTTTGTGTACTTGTTAGAGGAAGACAGCTAAGGCCCCTGCCTCTTCTACCAAGTGGGGATATTATGAGAAGTTCGTCATCTGTAAAGCAGAAAAAAGGGCTCTAGGAAACCAATCCTGTTGGTTCTCTGACTTCAAGACTTGCAGCCTTCAAAACCATGAGAAATAAAAGGTCTGTTTAAGTCACTCAATTAAAGCAGCCTGATTAAGACAGAACCACTTTTCCTTACCTCTCTTGCTAATTCAAGCCTCTTCCAACAAGTGGGGATATTATGAGAAGTTCATCTGTAAAGCAGAAAAAAGGGCTCTAGGAAACCAATCCTGTTGGTTCTCTGACTTCAAGACATACCAAGTGGGGATATTATGAGAAGTTCGTCATCTGTAAAGCAGAAAAAAGGGCTCTAGGAAACCAATCCTGTTGGTTCTCTGACTTCAAGACTTGCAGCCTTCAAAACCATGAGAAATAAAAGGTCTGTTTAAGTCACTCAATTAAAGCAGCCTGATTAAGACAGAACCACTTTTCCTTACCTCTCTTGCTAATTCAATATACCCAGAAGTAAGCCATTTTAACTTTTCTATCATATTTTTGTCAAGAATGTCCTATATATGGAATTGTACAGTATGCAATCTTTTGCATAGCTTTTTTCTTAATTGTGGGATAGTAGTTCTAGTAGGACTTCCTGTATATTTATCCAATGTACTATTGATAGACCCTGACTGGATTTTTTTTCCCTATTATGAAAAAATCTGCTCAAAATATTCCTGTGCAGGGCCGGGGATTTAGCTAAGTGGTTCTGCTGCCTGCCTCGCAAGCACAAGGACCCAAGTTCAATTGCCAGTACCAAAAAAAACCAAAAAAAAAACAAACCAACAAAAATATTCCTGTGCAAGTTTAGTAATGTTATCTTTTTAGTAAATACTCAGTTAAAATTGTGCAGGCATAGGGTGGTATGAACAACAATTAGAATTTTTCCAAAAGCATCAGGCCAGGACTTACACTCCTGTAGCTGTGTGTGAGTACTCTGGTAGATGTTTTGCAGATGTGGAGTGGCCTTTTTATTCATTCTGAAGTGTGTGGTGGGATCTGGAAGCATGATGTGCTATAATTTCATTACCATTCAATTCTAATTATTTTTTCATTTCTCTTGTGACTTTCTGACCCATCGTTATTGTAGAAGTCTGCTGTTTAGTACATTCCTTAGTACTGGGAATTTCCTCATTGTCTAGTTTCTACAGCTTTCTAATTTTATTTAACAGTGGTCAGAGAAAACAATGCACGATCTGACTCTTAAAAAGCCTTTATTTTTGAAGAGTAGCTTTAAGTACAGCAAAACAGAAAGGAAAGTATGCAGAATACTCCTTCCCCGCATGGACTAATCCAGTGGTGGCGAACCTATGGCACTAGTGCCACTGCAGGTTATCACTAAAGGCTCTAAAAGGTTTGCCATCGCTGGTTATCAAGAACTCCCCCAGACTGGCATATCTGTTACCTGATGAACCTACACAGTCTTATCACAACTATCCAAGTCCACAGCTTGGAGTTTAATCTTGGTGCTGTGGTTCATGGGTTCAGGCAGATGTGTGAACTGTGAAGGACATGTCCTTGTCTGATCCAGCTCTTCCCAATTTTTCCTTAAACTTGCCTTCCTTTTAGCAGTCACTTCTAAATTCTGAACTGAATGGGATGCGCTGGACTAACCTTCATTCCCCTGGATTCTGCACATGCTCACGCCTATGGTGACCACCCAAGGAAATCTTGCCTTCATCTTCCATCTTTCTTATTCACTCACAACACTTTATTAGCCCTTAGCATTCACATGGACTTTAATACTTATTTACTTGTCTGTCCCCCTTTCTACACTAATTTTGTGACAAGGGCAGGTGGTGTAGTCACGGTACCCAGTGTTATACACAGCGGGGTTCAGTAAACAACTGTATATGGAATGATTCTGTAGGCACAGTTGGGGCGCTTAGGTAGGATTAAATTAGGGAACTCAGCCCCTTTCAGAAGTAGAAAGGAAATACCCTCTGTATCTCAGCTAGCAGGCCAGCAGCCTGTGGCTGAGACCTGCTTCTGCGTAGTTACACTAAGCTGACAGTCTGGTTTTGATAGCCGTCTACGTGCAGGTAACACTGTCCCTCCCAGGGCAAACTGCCAGGCCTACCCAAGTTCCCTGATTGGCCCACAAGACCAAAGCCCCAGCAACAAGCCCAATATCCAATCCAGTGCAGACACCCAGGGCGGTGGAGACTGGACCCCTACCCAATAAAACAGGATTGCAACCCTATTCAGCGGTGTCCTAGTTCTGGGAGCCCCCCACTGCTCTGGCGTGGCTCTTTACAACTTCCTCTTGTGATACCTACAGTAAAATCCCTTTCGCTTCTCACTGGTCTTGTCTTACTCCCCGAGCCTGGGGAGGATGAGTTTGGGAACCCTAGACGCCAGATCCACTAGAAATAACAATTCACCCTAAAACCAGCACCTTGCGACAAGGTCACCGCTTCCTAGTCCTTCAGCAGCGAGGCACCGGCACACCGAAGTCGGCTTCTCCGGCCGTCCTACTGCTGTCCCTCTGACCGACAGCACCAAACACGCGCAAGAGCAGGGCTTCGCTCCACACGCGGCGCGCTCCGCACATTCTCCCGGAAAGCGGCCACACCGGAAGCGCACAGGCCGGAGGTCTGCTGCTAATGCGACAGCTTGGCTTCGGCCAGCTGGAGTGCCGGGGACCGCACTGGGGGGCGTCTAAGCGGACGAGCCAGCAGCAACTCCAGAGGTGCAGAAGGAAGCGGAGCGGAGGACCCAGGTAGAGCGCTGAGCACACCCTTCAGCGCACCTCTTCCGGGAAGTAAGGTAGCGTCACCACGCTGAGCCTACGCGTGACGTCTCCGCGCAGAAGACCAATGGGACGGGAGAGGGGGCGGGCTTGCGGGAGGACCGGTTTCCGGCTCCGGTGGGTATTCGATTTAGCTTTGTGCTACGTGTCCCTGGGATCTGTGGTGGCGACCGGCAGGTAAGGGTGTTCGTGCCAAGAACCCGGCGGCGCAGCAATGCGAGTTGGCCAGGCCTTTGTGCCTCTCTGGAGCCGGGACCCAGGGCCCGGCCTGGGGAGGCCGCGGGGTCGGAGCCTCTGACTCGGGGCCGTCGGTGTCTGGACAGAGATTCCTTAGCGTCTTTAGGGTCCCAGTGATTACTTACAGTTTAAGACTTTACACCTCAGGGTCGAAGTTAAATGTGGTAGCGAGGAAACAGGCGCCGCTGTGCTCTCGTCCCGGACGTTTGCGGGATCTGCTGTATTTGAAGTATTTCGTGTACATTTTCCGTTTAATTGTCCACTGCCCACGCTAGATGGGGAAACCCGGGCTAGAGAGGTGTCTGGTTTGTAGGCCGATTTGAACCATCAGACTCTGGACCCATTAGCTGTTAATACCAGTGCCTTTCAAAGCTAAAATTGACATTTCTACGAGATAACAGATTCTCAGCAACCCTGTAAGACAGAGTATGTGACCTTGTTTCCTCAAAAGCTTTGTTCTAACCTGCGGGAGTTTGGTAGCTTCTCATAATCTGGATCTTGACAACGTGTGTGCTCTGCTATAAGTGAGAACGGTGCTTTTCTCATTGTCTTTGGTGTGTTGCTTTCCCGGAATTTACAAACATGATGTAAATTTAAAGAGTGCCTTTCTTTGTTTTTCTTTCAAGGTGGAATTGACCCATGTCAGGCATGAATTCATGGCCGGTTTCATGTATATGTTTATGTAATTCAGCAAGTCTGTGTCGTTTGGTAAATAATAATCATTCTTTCTTTCTTTTTTTTTTTTTTTTAAACAGGCAAGCATGGATCAGGTAATGCAGTTTGTTGAGCCAAGCCGGCAGTTTGTGAAGGACTCAATTAGGCTGGTTAAAAGATGCACCAAACCTGACAGAAAAGGTATTATGTTTATATAGAGAAGAAAATAAATCTTTGTTTTTCTAGGGCTTTCATTTAACATCTTCCTAATTAGTAGCCATTGCATTACTTTAATCAATATCTTTATTGATTCATTTGGGTTTCTTGTTTGGGAATATTATTCTTAAGTTATGTGTACTTCTTGTTTAAAGTTTTCTCTTTTGTGTATTTTCAGATGGTGTGAAATTATTTATTAGAGCCATGTTGTCCTTGTTGTATTTAAGTTGTCATATATTTTAGCATCTTCCATGTCACCACTAGAATTTGGTGTCCACTAATTGTATCCACTAATTGAGTAGAAGTTGGGATTATAATACAGAATATAATACATTATATGTAAATAAGTATAATAGAGAATAGTCCTTGTTTTCCAACCAAGAAAGTTATGATTCTACTTTCATTATTGGTTTGTTACATTAAAAAATTAAAGAAAAATATGTTATTCTCAAGTTTTTTTTGGGGGGTAGTTTGGTCATTTGCTGAGAAGAACAATTTTTTTCAGTATTTGTTGATAAGGTCGCTGAGACATGCATACACTTTTATTTCTGTGTTTACTCAAATATCAACAAAACATGGACATTAAAAACTTGTCAAAATCTTTTATATTAAGCGTCTCACTTTTTTAAAAAATTAGCTACTAGTCAAGGGAAGTGTACAACCAGTAAGATTATTCATGTTAGTGATAATTTCCCCCATACTTTGAATAGGAGTACAAAAAATTAATGGGAATTTTGTTTGTGAATGCAGAATTCCAGAAGATTGCCATGGCAACAGCAATAGGATTCGCTATCATGGGATTCATTGGCTTCTTTGTGAAATTGATCCACATCCCCATTAACAATATCATTGTGTAAGTAAACATTATTGAAATGGGCCATGCCTAGGAATGAATGAAAATGGAAACTGTTTGGGTTGAAAATTAGCCTTCTATTTCATCAATACACAGATACATCCCTTGATTCTTTAATGCTGTAGAGTCTACTGACATTGTTTTGTACCTGATAATTTAAAGTGCTTTATGTCTCACACCATCTTTACAGCACCTTGATCTGGGCATGATTTTCTTTAATAAATAAAGTCGTCAAGTAGCAGATGTACTGGATAGATACATCACGAAGTTTCCAGTGACAGAGGCAAATTCAGTCTTCTTTATGCTGTATCTTGTTGATATGTAAGGTGCAGAGCAAATCCTTGCTGTCTGAAAATCAAGACAGCTCACCTAGATTCGCATCCTCTTGATTATTACTTACTCTAACCTTGGCAAATTTACTTAACCTCTCTGTGCCCTGTTTATCCTATGTGGTGTATTCTTACTTGGATTGTAGTAAAGACTGAAAATGAGTTGGGTAAGACCTTACGTGTGACTCTTGACAGTAATGGCAGAGTGGTGTGGGCATATTGGAGAGGAGGGGAGAAGGCTGAGAGATGCCCACACTGTTCTTTTATAAATACTTTCACTTTTTAAATTTGTTACAAGTCCTTAGGAATCCCTGTGGCATCCAGCAGTTTGAGTAATCAAGTTAGATAATTAAGGTTAGTGGAGGACTTGGTATAAGTTTCGATGTTCTGTGATTTTATACTCATTGATTCTCAGTCTCATCTGCCATTTAGAGGTAATGATTCCTGTCATATTTTATGGTGTGATGGAGTTTGAAGCAATTAGTTAGAAAAGTTTCCTGAACTACGAATCTTTCAGACACTAGGCTTTTATCACTGGCAGTTGTGGAGTCGTCTTTCAAGGTGACTGTGGGAATGTTGTCAGATTGATTTCTTAGGCAGATTAATTACCTCAGTTGTTAAGCAGAGTGATACAGTAGGATCCTGAAGAGTTGGAAGGAACCAAGTCACTCATCTCTTTTGTTCACAAGACTTTTTTATGTCACTAATGAGAAAAATCATCCCTGGAATTGGGAAATCTTGGAAGGAAAACCAGAGACTGTCTCTGGCTGCAGTTTCCTAATGAGTAAAAAGGAGGTAGAGTAGCATCTCCCTCAGGTCCCAGCTTTCACTGCCCTCTGATTTGTTGTGGACGTTGGCTGTGTTAATCACTCACATTGTTCTTCAGTTTGCCCCTGGGAACAAAGTGTAACCCCTTTACATGTTTTGATATGCAAATGTGCCCTTCCCTTAGCTCTGCATTTTTATCTTCCTTGCCAGACTTCACTATCTCCTCTGGGCCACCCTTAGGCATGTGTGCCTGTCTTGTTAAGATTACAAATTTTGAGGCAAAAGTGTTTGGTTATTTATAGTAATTAAATACATAAACAAGCACACTTCCTGTAGTCCATTCCCTTTTGCATCCATTAAAAGCAGAGAGTAAATGTGAATTAAGTGCATCATGGACTCAGGGTTCTTTATCTCTGCATAGTGGTGATGCTGGTATCAATAACAGCTGACTATTGGCAAGTCCTTGCCTTGTGCCAGGGGCTGATCTTGCTCCTTGTGAGTCCCTCATTCAGTCCTCAGGAAAAGTGAGGCTCGCCCCATCCAGGTTGCCTGCGTCCTGAGTGGTGGAGCAGCTTGTGAATCTTGCAGTGTGAGTTGCTTGCTAAGTTGCCAAGTTGGTTTGTTAAAAAGTACTTTCAGATATTTTTTAATCTTAAAGTGAAGGTCAAATAAAACATTTTGTGAGAAAAGCTACAGAAAACTAATTCTTTTCATGTTATGCTATGATAGCTATAAAACTGAAACAATTTTTTTCCCTACTTGAAAGCCTAAATCACTGCTTAAATCCTTTTGAGGTGATAGCAAGGAAAACATAACCACAGGCTTTTCTTTCATTAGATCCAATTATTATCACATTTTTTCCAATTATAACAGTCAAGACTACCCATGATATTATAGTTTAAAGGAATTAAGCATTTACTGGTGGTGTGGTTGTAGCAATCTGTTTTAATGATTTAATAACAAATCAGTTAAAGTTCTTAGTTATGAAGTATTATCAAGGATACTTTATGATTCTGGTTATTTAGCATCACAGTCTGAAATGTGTATCTGACAGTACAGTTTTAAAATTTATGCTTTTGTTTGTTGTCTTTTGTTGTGCTGGGATCCATTCAGCAGTGCCAGCACTGTACCAGGGAGCTGCCTGCCTAGCCCTATGCCAGTCCTGCTCTTGGTTTTCACAGCATTGGGGATGTTTTAAGACAGTGTCCAGCCTACATTGCTCCAAACTTGGCTCCTCCTGCCGCAGTTTTCTGGAGAGCTGGGCAGCAGGCACCCACTTCTACACCTGCTCCAGCCCCGCTTCTCAGAATCTGCCCGATAAGGGCAGCCTTCATCCCCTCTGTGTTCACCTTCCAGGTGCCAGAGCTCCTGTGCAAGGCCAGGGGCTGTGGTTTGTGAAGTGTGGTGAGCAGTTGTACTAATCTGCATCTCTATTTCCAGCTGCTCTGTGGACCCCAGGATAACAAGCAGACTCCTCAGCCAATGTTCCTGTCACGTGATTAATATATTTTTGTCTTATGCAGAAAGAAATTATGCCAGACAAGCAGTGAGGGTTTTAAAATAAGGCTGTTCTGGAAGCCTCATTGCACTGAAGACCTTCTTGGTTCCAGGGTTTTAAAGTTTACTACACTTTTTAATGCTACCTTGAGGCACAGTGAGGTGCAGTTCTCAAGTAAATGGTTTTAATTCTGAAAAATTGTAGCATATTATGTTTCAAGTAATTGTTACTATTAAAATCATATGCTGCGCAAAACCAACCCAGTTTTCCTTCTTTTGCAGGGGTGGCTGAACATCTTTTAGAAGAATGTTTTTCTTCTTGGCATCTTAGGGGCTGAAGAAGCTCATGAAGTAAAAATTTGCCTATGTGCTTTGTGTTTTTCTTTTTCTTGTCCCCTGTTAATGTGTTTTCTATTTGTCAATTAAAATAATTTCAGAATAAACAAATTTCTCTTAAGATTCAGTGAGACACTGCACTCCTGGAGTGTTCTGTCTTACTGTTCTGTGCTCCTGCCATGAAATCCCCAGGCTGGCTTACAGATAGCAGGCTGTCTCACACTGCAGGCTGTGGAGTGTAAGATCACAGTGCCAGCAGGATTTAGTTTAAGGGCCGGATCCCGTTGCTTCCTGCTGAGTCCTCGCCTGGAGAATGGGACACAGGGTGGAGTCCAGGTCCCTGCTCATCAGCGAGGCCCCTCACTACTATCAGCTTCGGTGATGGAGTTCTTAACGTCAGTGTGGGAGGGACGTAACCTTCACTGTGAGATCAGTGTTTTCCTCCTGTGGAGCAAAGTGAGGTAAGGATACTAGAGAGAGGGACTCCTGCAGTCTGAGGGTGCTGTAGGAGTTTTGACCATCACTTCTGTTGTAAGCAGGGAGTAAAAAATGAGTCTGTTTCTATTTTAAAGGTATTCCATTACTTGAATTTGTGCATTGTTTTTTTTTTTTCATTTTCATGTTGAGGACTGAACCCAGTACCTTTACACTGAGCTACATTCCCAGCCCTTTTTATTTACGTGTTTTTAAATACTGACCCAAAGTCTCCTTGAGTTGCTAGTTTGCCCAGACTGGGCTCCAACTTTGGATCTTCTGCCTCAGTGGCTTCTGATCTCCACAGCGAGGTGACACCGTACACTTGGGTGACTGTTACCTAACCTGCAGTGAGTAGGGTGGGTGGACCTGGATGTGCTACTGGGTTCTTGTGTTCTCTGGTCTGCCAGAGGTGATTTCTAGGTTCTTGAACAAAGAATTGGAAAAAATAAGGACAAATGGTAGAGATTTTACATTTATTAAAGGTAGGAAAAGAAACATGCTCTGCAGAGTGAGTTTGGGCCAAATAAAAGTAGGAAGAAGTTCACTCTACGGCTCAAGTGGCTTCTGAGAGCAGGTAGCTGAAGGCTGCATGGTAACAACCCCTGGCATCCCAGCTCCTCGGGCTGCCTTCAGGTGGAGGCCATCCTCACCCTGCGGCATTGCTGGTGAGAATTGAAGATGCACTCCTGGGTTGGTTCCAGGAGCAGCAGTTTGGGAAATGTTCTGCCCATGTGTCCTGGGACTTTGCAGTTAACAAATCACCTTCTTCCCCTGCCAGTTTGCCACACCCTGATTTCCTGCCTCAGGTGCAGGTTCTCAGGCTCAGCTTCCTGTAACTGCTCCTTACCTCTGCCCTACGGTATTTTCTGTTCATTGGACCCTGTTTCATTTCTTTAAGTCAGAGGGATGAGTTCTTTTGATATTCTTTGCCACTACTTCCTTGCTTGGTAGCCCTGAAGGGTATATGATGGGCTTGCTCCCTGGTGACCAGCCCAGGCGGACTAAAGACTCAAGATTACTGACTTAGGGCGACTGCAGATTGGACCTGGAGGGAGAATCTGAAACAGCTGAGAAGTTCCTGAGACCTGCAGTGTGAGGTGTTGGAACAGTTGAATTTATGTTTTTCAGAGAGAATAAGTCCCACACCCTGGGCTTCTGGTTAGACTTACTCCCGGTACAAGGTGTAGTTGTAGATCTCTGCACCTCACATGCATACATTTTTGTCAGGCTACTCAGGAGAGGGCTTCCAGTGAAGTGGGGGAGCAAGCAGCTTCTCTGTGACAACCTGTGCCCCATCCCTTTCTCCAGAAACACTCAGTTCCGTCTCTCCGTGGTTATTTTAGTGTCACAGTTGTGGGTAATTTCTAGATCCCTCGTTCACTAGCATGATTGATTTCAGTATGAGAGGTGAAGTTTCAGCCCACTTACTGTCCACCCTGTACCCCTTCCCTAACAGTGAACCCCCCTCTTCCTCATCTCTAAACTTGGGACCTTCAAGGGTACTGTTGCATCTCTGCTAGCAGCTTTAGACACTTCCTTCAGCCCTCGCAGCAGTTACTCTGGACATGGGTAGGTTTGGAAGCTAAGAATTCATAGACGGTGTATTGCTGCAAAGTAAACACAGCTAATTCCCATGCCTAGCAATGCAGTTTGTGTTCCTTTTTAAATTGGCTGCATGTATTTTGTGGCCTCCTGGTTTCTGCCTCTTACTCTGTCTGCCCTGATGGCCAGAATATTGTACCCTTGGTATTTGGTCTCCTGCATGACCCCTCTCCTCCCCTCCCCTCCACTGCGAGCGGAGCACAGCTTCCCTTGCCTCCCTGGGCTAGAGATTCTGTTTCCCAGGTTCTAAGTATTTGCTTTCTTGACTTGCTCTCTTCACTGTAGTCCAACAAAAATGATTTCCTACATAAAGTGTGTGCCAGGTCAAAATATCTTTAACAAAATCTCAGGATTGGTAGTTTACCTGCTTATAAGAAACCAGGTTCTAAATAGTATAAACATTCATAATTTTAAGAAGTTGGTTGATTCATTACTTTTGGCAATATAGTTCACTCGCCAGCTGTGTAATCTTGGACAAGTCCTGCGTTCTCTGCCTCAATTCCCTTACCTGAAGTTGGAGGGCTGTAAAAATTACGTGTAAAGTACATGGCACATCAGTGACTAACATCATTAATAAGGGGAGTGGGAGAGCGGGGACTACAGTCAGCCTGGTCAGCAGCCAGCCCTAAGGACTCTGAAGTGTAGGTTTTAGGTTTCTCTTTCCCTCCCCTCTCCTCTCCTCCCCTCCCCACTCCACAACACTCCTTTCTCTCTTTCCCTCTCCTCCTCTCTCATCCCCTTCCCTTCCTTTCCTTTCCTCTCCTTTCCCCAGGATTGAACCCAAGACCTTCCAACCAAGCTAATCCCCAATCCTTTTTGTTCTTTATTTTGAGACTTTCTCAGGCTGGTCTCAAATCCTCCTCCCCCGTTCTCCCAGAGGTCGGGATTACAGGTGTGTACTGCCTCTGCCTTCTCACTGTATTTTAAAAATGGGAAAATGTGCATCATATAAAGTTGTCACATGTTTTCAATTGATTATCAAGAAGGTCCTTCCACACAGTGTTGGAAAATGATTGTTCCATAAAAGATCATTATTTTTAAACTGATGTTAATTGTTCAAATGATACTAAACATTCAAAATTACATACAGTGAGACTATTTAATGGGAAATGAAACACATAGTCTACAAAACTTAAAAATCAAGTGATGTGAGAAATCCACAGTATACTTCTAAGTCTATTTTCCTCTTTCTTTCACAAAGAAGTGGCAATGGCTGGGAGTGTCAAACATTTTCCTTCGGGTAGTAACCACGTATATGCATGCATGGACAGTGTGTTGCTCAGCTCTCCTGTTCTTGAAATCCAGACAGCTGCAGACTGCTGTGTGCTCTTCCATGACCTGCCTTCTCACCCTCAAGCTTCGTTAGATTCACAAATGTGCACACAGAGCTGCAGGGGTTATGGGATGTTTATTCTCACCTCTGTATGACATTGTACTGCAAAATTACTCCCCACTGAATATTCAAAAATGTTTTATTTATAGTTGTTTAAATGTTTTGAAATTCTTTTATTTCTTTAATATTTCCTACGATGTTTTTAATTTACTGATATATGGTAGTTCTGCTTATTTATGAGGTAACATGGTATTTAGATGAATAAGGTATAAAGTTGAGATAAAGGTATTTGGTACATCTATTATATATTTATCATTACATTGTGTTGAAATATTAAAACAGAAACACTAAATCTGCTGGAAGAGAGAAGTAGAACACTTGAAGATGTAGGGGTAGGCAAAGACTTAAAAAACTCCAATTACACAGGAAATATTGCAAAGAATCAGCAACTGGGATCTCATCTTATTAAAAAGCTTTACAGCAAAAGAAATCACCAACAGTGAAGAGACAACCCACAGACTGGGAAAAAACTTTTGCCAGCTGTTCCTCAACAAAAGACTGATATCTAGAGTGTGTAAAGAACTGAAAAGAGTCAATCCCCTAAATGTATAGACCCAGTCCAAAAATGGGCATCTGAGATGAATAGACACTTCTCAGATGAAGTGGAAACAACAAATAAATATATGAAAACATTCAATATCACTAATTCAAGATATGCAAATTAAAACAATGCTGAGATTCCATCTGATCCCAGAAAGAATGGCTATCAAGAAATCAACCAATAACAAATGCTGGTGGGACTGTGGGGTTAAAGGAACCCTGCTCTGCTGTTGGTGGGAGTGCAGACTGGAGCAACCACTGTGGAAGTCAGTGTGGACATTTCTCAAAAGACTGACCCAGCTATTTCCCTTCTTGGTATCTTCTTGGAAGAATTAAAAACATCCTACTCAGTGACATGTGCACACCACATGGTTTGTAGCAGCTCTGTTTCTGTTGGCAACAACTTAATACTGTTGGCTTCATACAGGTTAGCCTGTCTCTTCCCCACAGACCAGCGCTTTCTCAGCACTCCAAATACAAGCCTCAGCTGGACACTGCTCAGAAATGTGGATGGTATGGCCACATTAGGCCCCAAGCCAGCTGCTTGGTGTCAGCAATGTGCTTCACGTCAAATCCAACATCAGAGAGTGTGAGACACAGCTGAACCCAGAGCTTGGGAGCGGAGGTCACAGCTGCTGGTGTGAGGACCGTGGTAGCAGATAAAAGGTGCTGTCGTTACTTCCCGTGACCACCCAGTAACAAGGGCAGCCACATTCAGAGAAGGTGCTTCTAAAGTGATTATGGTTGCACCATCATCCCACTGAGCTTCTTACCCACACAGAGCTTAGTAACCATGCAGAGAAGGGCAGAGGTCAGTATAATAAAAACCTTTGGATTTCCAATTTTCTAATGCAACCACCAATGCGTTAATCTGCTCAAAACCTTTCCCGTGTGTGTGGGACTAATTCCAACTGATAGCAGGTCATCTCCTGTTAACTTAATAAAATATCTGTTTTAGTGTGTATTTCAATTTCAAAGGACCTGAAAAATCACGTGAGCAATCAAATATTTATTCTTTGTGAATAATTATATACAAGCCATAGGGAATGAGGAATCTCTCACAGGTAAATTCCGGTCTGCTGATGTTACAGTTGCGGAAATGGGAACAGTAA